ATAAGATCCAATCCTCGGTATGCTCAGGTTGGCCAAGTACTATGTAGAGATCTTATTACTCCTAAGTTGTAGAGCTCTAATTCAAACCATTGTCCTTTATTTTACCTTAACTTTCTGAAGAGGATGTGTGCAGGAAGCAGGACAAGGAAAGATTTGAAATTTATTTTCCATGAAAAGCTTGTCCTTATTTTGAGGAGAAAGATCCTTTGTAGTGTGAGAGACTAACCTATCCTCCAAAGACAACCAAGAGGACAAACCACATTACCTAATAATAAGTAAGTGTGATTAGGGGCAGTTACAGGAGAATATAAGGGCTGTCTGGAAGTATCCAGCCATGTAACTGTTCTTGTGTATATTAAAGTATTCTAATAAATTAAACATGGTATGATTTTACAGAAAGATGGCAGACATGGTGGCTCATGGTTATAATCTCAGCATTTGGAGGCTGAAGCAGGAGGATTGCTTGAGGTCAGGAGTTCAAGACCAGCCTGGGCAACATAGCAAGATCCCCATCTCTACAAAAAATCAAAAGGCATGGTGGTGTGCACCATTCTGCCATGTAGAAAAGAGGCTTCCTGCTCTCTCCTGACTATCTGCCTTTAAGTCCACAATAACTAAATCAAAAAAATATAAAATCACTATACTTCGTTTGTTATCCCTTTTTAATTGACAACTACCTCTTAGAAATTAGAAGTTATCCCTAAAAGACTTGTACCTGTTTGTTCACCTAGATAGATTAGAACTTATTAGAAGCCTTTGAGAGAAATTTGACCCCAACCCACTCCCTGTTTCCCCTAGCAACTGCATTCCCTGATATGCAATATGTTACCCTGAACAACTGGTAATTGATATCTGTGATTATAAAACCTGTATGAATCTAACCATATGGCTAGACATTAATGGAGATATGTCTAGTTTCCTGAGTACCTTACTGTTATTCTGACTTTTTATAAAACTATAAACTATACTTAATCTCTGTGTATTCTTTTATTCTCTCTATTTCCTATCAGTTTTCTTATCCTCTGTGGCGACCCCTTTCTAAGGACCTGGCTTCGTGGGGAGAAGCAGCTGATTCCTTGCAGCCCTGCCTCACTTCCCAGCACTTAACTTGTCTGTAAACTTGTCTCTTAAATTTGATCCTTTAGGCCATGATGAGGTGTAGGGACAACACTGGCTTGTCTTTCCTGGCCCAGATGTGCCTATTGGCCATACTGGAAAGATTATAATAGATAGATACATGATGATAGATAGATAGATAGATAGATAGATAGACTAGAATATCACCTCAAATAGTTACACTTTCTTTCTTGATGCGTATGACTGATATCTTATAAGATCATTATTTACCTCTTTGCAATGCTTTATGCACGATATTTCATACACACATACATTACCACATTAAACTTCCCCTACAAACCTATTATGTATGTGTTGTGTTGTCAGTATTTTATAGATTAGAAAACAGAGGAATAGAGAGGATAACTGGCCAATCTTACATAAGAATCTCAAAAACAGTTAGGACTGGTAGCTGGACAATACTGTACAAAATCTCACTCCACACTATGACACAAACTTATAACTTCATTTACAAAGATGCTAACCCATGTAATAATAACTTTTTCCTATGCCCTGAGAGCTCAGGAATGCCTCTACATGCTCTATATGCAGTGGGATGGAGAGAGGTTGATTAATGGAACTATATATAGTTGACAAAGAAATAAGACCTAGTGTTAAGTAGATCAGGAGGGTAACTCTAGTTAATGATAATCTATTTGCATTTTAAAATAGCTAGAAGAAATAATTGAATGTTTCTAGTATAAAGAAAAGACAAATATTTAGATGATAGATGCCCAGTTTCCCTGATGTGCTCAACACATTATATGAATGTATCACATTATCACAGTGTGTGCTGAAATGTGTATATCTCCTACGTATCAGTAAAATAAATAAATTTTTTAAAATATGCAGTGAGTCCATTTAATATGTATGAAATTTTCATTTCTTAGTAAAAATACTTTATTTCATCCCTTCTCAGATACACTTCTCTATAATCCCATCTGAACTTTATTTCTATTTAAGAACTTGTGAAGTTGAGGAAAAGAAGAAAGCTTATTTTCTTTTCTTGTTTTTGTCTTCATCTCTC